CCAGCTCCTGGAAGTAACCACTTTGCTCTTCAGTTTCACAGGATGAAGGCTCCTGGATCTCCTGACTCCAGATCCAAGGATTGAGTGTGTGGGGTCACTTCACTGTCCACCATCCTCCCTCTCTTGGAGCAGATGTACTTGAGGCCTCTCTACACATTCCATGTGCCAGGTGTCATAACTAGATCCAAGCCCCATTCACCTTTGTGTTCCCAGCACGGCGCCAAGCACTCAGTGGCAGCTTAACAAGTTTATGGTAGAAAGCAGTGCAAAGCTGAACACCGGGTGCTGGGTATATCTCATTTCTTGCTGGTGTGGGGGTTTCGAAGACATGCAAGTGAACAAACCATACATGGATAAACAATCAAGAGACCAAAAATTACATTCCCCAACATTTGGTCCTTCTCACTCTGCTCCAGCCCTTTTGGCCTCCTTGCTGCTTGGAAACTTTACTCTGGATTGTGCCTCCCCTGCACCCCCATCTTCTTTCAGGTCTGCTCAGGTCCCACCTTCTCCCTCAGTTCTCTCTGAGCAGCCCTCCCTGCACCACCTCTTCCAGTCCCCCTTCCTCCCCCTGCCATACTTGCTCATCTTTGGTGGCACTTACCGCCTTCTAATGTGCTACGTAGTTCATTGTGTCCATGTGAGCATCTCCTCCCCACTAGAGCATGAGCTCTGCTGGGGGGGGGTCTTCATCTGATTCACTGATGCCTTCCAAACAACTCACAGGGTGGGAGCTAAACAACTATTTATTGAATGAATCTCCAAACACTGCCCAGAGCTGAGCCTAAAATACTCAGGGAAGTGTCGAGTTCACCCACAGTCCACAGTCCTGTGTTTCTCAAAGACCCATCCTCCCTTGTACAACCCAGTAACTGGAAGAGAGAGGTTCTGCTCTTCTTAATTCCAGTCACCACAGGGAGTGACTGAGGGTGATCCCCTTATTTCCCTGACATCTTTCTGCCCTTCTCCCCACACCATGGCTCACCTGGTTCTCCCTACAGAGCCTGCTGCTTAAATGAGTCTATGCCCCATGTGTGGAGGCACCCAGGGCCCTAGGAAGTACATGGGCCTCAGAGCTATGCTGCAACCTCAGGGTGTTATTTCCACTCTGAGCCTCAGTTTCCTCATTTACAAAATGAGGGTTGGGGCCAATAATCTCCATGTCTGACATTTTCCCTGTGGGAAGAGGGGAAAGTGTGACTTTGGTCATGTATACTTTAGAACCAACCAACCCATGATTCTGGGGCACAGGACACAGCCATACTCAGATCCTAGCAAATATAACCAATAAGCAAACAGGATTTCACAGAATCATGTAGGTTAGATCAGTAGCCACCGTCCTATTTTCACAAATAAGAAGTTATTATTATCTTGATTTCACAGAAAAGTAAGGCTCATAGAGCTGAGCAAGTTGCTCACAAATAAGAAGCAGAGCCACATCCAAAGCCTTCAGACTGCAAATCCATAATCTTTCCACACATAACTGCCTTATTGTTTTCAAAATGCACCCTCGTGGAAAAATGCCACTATTACAGGGTCTGACAATTAAGTTTGGAAAAGTTCTAGGGAAAGTGCTACATATCTCATTGCTGAATATCACTACAGTCACCTTCAAAGTGCTCCCCTTGGGAAGCTATGCACCAACACCAGTGCCTAGTCCACCCTTCAAAGCAATTTTGAAACCCTTTTTCCAGAATAGCCATCAGAGCTGACGTCATATTACCCTTGATGTCCTGAATGTCATCAAAATGTCTTCCTTTGGATATTTCCTTTATCTTCAGGTAAATAAAAAAATCACTGGGGGCCAGATCAGGTGAGTAGGGAGGGTGTTCAAATATAGTTATTTGTTTACTGACTAAAAACTCCCTCACAGAGAGTGCTGTGTGAGCTGGTGCCTTGTCATGATGCAAGAGTCATGAGTTGTTGGCCAAGATTTTCAGTTAAAATTTTTCTGTTTCTAAATCGATGTTTACTTGGTCTATTATGCTTCTCACAGTCAACTAATGATTTTGATGCCCAATTTGATGAATTTTTGCAATGTTTTCATCAGTTCTGCTCATTACTGGCCACCCTGACCTCTCTTCATCAGTGATGCTTTCTCTCCCCTCAGAAAAACATTTAATCCATTTATACAATGCCATTGTCTCAATAGCATTATCCCCATAAACTTAGACTAACACATCCCTTATTTCACTTCCACTCTTGCCATGTTTAATGAGATACAAGTATTTGTTGCTCTAATTCAAGCTCCAGCATTCTCACAACAGCACACAAAGACACATAACAACAATACTGAGCAGCAATCATCAAGACATCACCACATGTCAAAATGAACACAGCTGTGAGACGCTGAGGTACCAAGGTTATGAAACTTTACCAAGTTGTTTTTACAGTATTGCCGATGTAAGTGCACAGTGGTAAGTTCGCAAACTTGATTTTAGGACCTTGTAGATTATCAAAAGCATCAGTAATCTCATATAATCTATTCTGTAACATTATAGAATATAAATTGGAATTTGCATTTGAATGTGCTTATGTCTCAGCTGGAGATTTATTTATGTACATCCAATAATGCAATACAGCCACCATGAGAAGATAGCCCTCTGAAAGACCTGAGAGAGTGACTCTAGTTCCTATTAGGAATAGACAGCTCAGCTCTCAGTAGCAGCTAAGATAAGCCTCTCACCCCATCACTTTCAAAACTCTCCCAGAGAAATATGCGACTGAGTGTTTATATTTTACAAGACTTTTCGGCTGCAAACAGAAAAACTGACAACACAAATAATTCAATCAATTGGACACTGTTAATAATATTTTACATAAACAGAGTAAATAAGAAAGGAAAGTGCTAGATATGAAAGCTAGGTTTATGCAAATCTGACAGACTGTAATTTGTTCAGAGCTGTTAACGCTCCTTGTTTTTCCAGATTCAAACATGTCCTCTACTACCATCTCTCACAACATGATGGCGAGAGGTGAGGCCACCTTCCACGTTAGCCGAGTTGGACTGGGAAACCTTGGAAGGGGAGAAGTTCACTTGGAAAAGAAGCTTTGTAGGGATCTGGACTATGTCAGGGACAACACAAGCTTCAAGAATCAGCATGTACTGAATATTTTCAAAGGAAAGGATAATTGAATTTATTCTCCTCCTTCCTCTGACTTCTTGCACCATTAATGTTAGGGGAACAGCCTTGGCCATTTTTTTTTTAAAGCATCTGTTCCCACCAGTGGATTGAATGTCTATTTTTAACTCAAGAATTCCTTAGAATGTGTTGCACCACTCACTGTTGGCACTCAAACTTGGGAGTTCAAAAGAAACCAGAAGTCCAAAGTAAATAAGGTTGTGGACTAATGAACATTTTATTAAAAATGGAATCGGGGGAGGGGAGTCAGGGAGAACTTGCCTTTGCTCTGTCTGTGGAGTAGACTTTCTAATTTTCTATATTTTCTGAATAATCTTGTTTTCACATTTAAAAATATAGAATCTGGGACTCACACCATGCTAATATCCTCCTCCTTCAAACCGCCACCCTCAATATGTGATATGTCCATGACACCAGAAAGGACAGGAAAAGCGGCCGCAGGGAGGGATCAAACAATTGCTTAGACTTTTTGTCTGGTTTTTACCCTCAAAATTGTCTTCAATTTAGAAATCACGCATTGCAGACTTCTTAAAACGATCCAAGTTTCAACTATTTTTGCTTCCTTGTTTCCACAATAAACTTGTCAGATGATTTTTTTATAGTTTGAAAATGTAATCAAAATCCTGTCTTTGTGTATCAGTGCAATAGTCAGTCCCAAAGAATGGGGTAAAGTAGGCCTCAGAGACACACATTTGCGCCCCCCACGCTGGCTTCCCCCCACTTAGCTACACTACTATTTCATTCAGGAGTATCACACCCCCGTCTAACAGACGAAGGCACTAAAGTCAAAAAGCATCAGCTGACATTGACTCAACTGCAGCTTCTCAAAGTTTTGTTAACTATGACTGAAACATGGTGAGAATGTTATTACCTTGACAAATGGCACCAAAATTCATTGGCGTATTAGTAGGGTTTTTTTTTATTTTTCTGATTTTTATAGAAATCACTTTTTCCTTTTACTTTTAGTTGACAGATAATTATTGTACATATTTATGGGATACAGAGTGATGTTTCAATGCATGTGTACAGTGTATAATGATCAAATCGGGAGAATTAGCATATCCATCGCCTCAAACATTTATCACTTACTTGTGTTGTGAACATTCAAATTTCCCTCCTCTTGTTTTCAGGGATATTTGTAGTATAATGTGATAAGTGCAGTTAGCATATCCACCCTCCAGTGCTGGAGAACACAGAACTCATTCCTCCTGGCTAGCTGTAACTTTGTCTCCATTAACCAGCCTCTCCCCATCTGCCCCTCTCGCCTGCCCTTCCCAGCCTTTAATAACCACAACTCCACGCTGAGGGCTTTGAGACAAGAGCCATCCACCAAAAGAGGGTGAAATACCGTCCTTTGAAAGGGCTGACCACTCTTTTTCAGTCTGACTCAGAGGCAGAGGGATGCACGCAGATGACCTGCTACTCTCTCTAACATCACTAAGCTGGTGATGAGGCCTTGGGAAACGCCCCTAGGCTCATGCCCTCTGGAGAGAAGCCAAAGGTTTCCTGTTGTAGAGGCCCAGTCTGCTGCTAAAAGAAACTTTTAGAGGCTGCAGAAGCCCCAACTAAGCTTTCACACATCAGCTTTCCCCACCTCCTCCCCTTGGTGCCCAACACAGCTCTCCCATTCTCTCACTCCCATTGTTTTCCAAACATCCCTCCCTTCATAAAAAGCTGTCTGGCTGGGAGCTTAAAATATTGCTGGACAGTAAAACCTACCCATCAGGGCCAATCCAGTCATATCTGCTCAGTCGTGCAGCACAGCAGGGGCGGGGTAGAGAAGAGGGAGGTGGGCTTTTAGGCAGCAAAGGAAAGAAGCCAAAGTTGCCATTTTGCTGCTGAGCGCCAAGAGAGAAAGACAGCGTGTATTTCTCCGTGGGACACTACTCATATTGGCAAGTTTTCTTTGGATGATATTAGTTTGTAGCCTTCCCCTCACCTCTTTCTCAGCCTAACCTAAGGGCCATATAGTCTTCTCCAAGAGGGAAAAGCTTGCCTTTAAGGTTTAGTCCTGGCCTGATATAACTGGACTTACAAGTACAACACTGAAAATCCTCTTGGAGTTGACCTCAGAGTTTGCAGAACTTTAGAAATGAGATGAATAGTAGAGTATGTGGGGTAATGGGAGAACAGACGTTTAAACTCTCTTGAGTTTGACTTTTTAAGTCAAAGACAGCTTAACTTTTTAAGGGCTTTGCATTGAAAAGAATGAATTAGTATGCTTCTAAGAATCCCAAGAGACATAAACAAAGTATTCAATGTTTGTGACAGCGTTTTATACTTCTCTTCCACTTCAACTCTTCAATAGGAGTAATAATCATAATCATTGAGGGTGGTGGGTATAGGGGAGGCTACATGTCAGCATTTTTGATGTTGGAGCATTGAATGAAAAACAGGAAAGTATCTGTCTAAAGACCATAAACTCTTCCTGGGAGTAGGTTCCCTTGTCTGCCTAGAGAGCTACTGGTTAGTGGCTGCCCTAGAAACTAGAATGAAGGCACACTTCACTCCATTACGGGTGGGAGTGGTAAGCGGCCATTGAATGCTTGGGGGAACTTGTTAACACAGAGTATATTTGTTGCTCTGCCCCTTCAAAGTCAGAAGAAGGCTGTGCTATACTGAGCTTGGAGCCAGAAGACTGCAGCTCATATCTGGGAGACAAGTGCAACCTCCTGGCCCATCTCCCTACCTGGTATTGAAGGTTGATAATGCCTGCTTCACTGATTCTCAAGCACTCATTTGTGCATCTCTCAGTTCTAGCCCAAGATGAAGTTTTCAGCAGCCAATGACAAAAATGTGACAATCATGAAATAAACATGTAGTGAACTTTCTAACCAAGTTAAGTGGTTCACTTATAAACACGTGAGGATTTTTTATTTACAATAGGTTCTAACCCAATATGATTGTCTTTTAATCTGAATTTATGTCCTTTCTAGTTTGGTAGTATTAAACTCCTTTTTCATGAAATGATGATGAAAACAAGCTGTAGACACAGTGATTTAATAGGTTTCTTCTTTTTAAGGTCTTTGTTTGGCAAAATAAGGAGTTGGCAGCCTTGCGTTGATCACCCTTTTTGTTGCTGTTATTATACTAGTCTGTGAAATCAAAGTCTGAGAACCACTGGCCTCATAGCTTGCTATGAGGACTGAAATAAGATATGTGAAAATGCTTCATTTATAAACAGATAAAGAATTTATAAAGGATACCCAAACACAAGGTGCTATTTGAATCATTACCTCTAGCCGTAATTCTCTGGTGGAATGTTCCCAGGAATATTTGGATGCCATAGGGTTGGAGGCTTGAACTCCATCATTTTATTTTCCATCCATAATATATCTGGTCACTAAATTTTCACAAGCAAAATGAAACAGATAATTGTCTCTTTGAAGAAGAAAAATATTCTTCCTTTGGTTTGGAGTTCTCCCTGCTCCATTAGAACACTTTGCTACTCTGATCTGACTTCCTCTAAATTTTTATTGTTAGAAGTCAGAAGCCCAAGGCACTTTCCCTTAGCACCTCTAAAGCCTCTCGCCTTAACAGCATTGTTGGCCTGTTTCAATTATGATGGGGCTGGAAAGATTTTGTCCTAAGTTACAGTTTCTTTCCTTCAATTATCAAAAGAAACTTTGGAATGAAACCTAAAAAATGCACTCAAACAATCCTAGCATCCCAGGATGGTATGTGGAAGGACACAGCCTTATTTGGCTTTAGCTTAGAAATTACTAATGGGATGGTCAGAAGGGACGTCTTATATCACAAACATGTATCATGATACTCACGTGTCAAGAATCATTGCCCTTTAAACTCTTGTCTTTTCATATAAAAAAAAAAAAGAGTCATTGCCCTTACAGTTTATATCTTTGATCTTATACAAAATAAGCAGTTTTATGTCTCAACACAGCTGGTTTTGGAGCAATTTATTATCTTTTTTGGTATGTACTGGTTTTTTGCAAGTTCATAATCTCCCCATGGCTAGCTGAAGCAAAAGGATTGGAGTTACCTGAACTCTAAGACATACTACTGTTACATGCACTTGGGAATTGAGAATTTCAGATTTCAGAATGGTCACTATCAGTCCCATCCACTTGTATCTATCAAACTCCCACTCTGTGAATGGCTATGTCCTGTGTTGTGATGGTTTGCAGAGGATGAAGCCAAAATGGTTGAACTGTCCAAGAGCTTTTGATCCTAAAAGGGAAAACAAGACCCTATGACGTATAGTGTTGAGAGTGTGTGCTCACCATCCACATTCATGTGGGTATGTGAGTGAAATACATGCAGAAACTCAAAAGGACTCATATAGTACAAGTAAGGCTGTCAAAACTGAATCGATACATCAGTGGTTGAACTGTTTGATGAGAAATGAACTTTATCCTAGCTCTGCCACCAGTGGGCTATATGCTCAGGCTGCTTAGATGATAGTGATGTTTCTTACCTATTTTCCAGAAGGCTCTGGGAATGGTTGCCACTCTTCACAAGGCAAGCACTAGCTTTAACTGCAGTCTGAGGAGTGTGAAGAGCAGATACCTGTGGCTGGGATTCTGACCTGCTGGTTCTGAGTAGAGGACTCCCTCCTACTCTCAATTCCCCCTCCCTACAAGGAACTCTTCCCACTGCCAGGCTCATCATTGGGGATTCTCACCTTCCCAGAAGAAGAGAAGCTGCTGCAGGATATCTCTCTAATTGGAAGTTTCTAGGGCCCTAAGAGGAGGCTGCCCTCTGCTCTCCAAGCAGATAGTGTTCTGGATGCCTGAGAGCATCGGTGGGGCATTACCATGCCTGCCATTACTATTCTGCCACTAGGTTCTGTCTGGCCAGGCTTCAAATAACAGGCTAGAAGTAGGAATTAAAATACCATTTTGTTTATCCTCTTTAAAGATGAAAGTCATACTCAATTTAAGGTAGTACTCTTTCAAGTGTTTAACGAATATCACTGTCATTCAAAATGGTGGTCTGACCGCCTCCCAATCCTATAGAGCAGAGCAGGTCTGGAAGGAGCCCAGAGCAGGATCTTCTAACCTGGCTTTTGCCCTGGTCTAAGAGCAAGGATGAACAAACTTCACAATTCTAGAGATGTTTAAGCTAGAGGAACAACTGTCCCCGGCTGAGGTGAAAGTTTTGTTCATAGTCCTTCATAGGTCACAGGTTTGCACTGGATGAAATGACCCAGTTTGGACACATCCCTCCATCAGTTCAATCCCACTTCCATTAGCCATTGCTGTGCTAGGGGCATTGTATACTTCATGTTTAATGGTATGTGTTTTTCTACAGACCAAATGTTTAGCTCTGTTAAAATGGCCACATGTTACAGACCTAGACAACTTTCATTGTGTGAGACACTAAAAGTGTCCCAGTGGACAGTCATCCTGTGACATGACTCCTTCCCAGGCATTCTCTCTGCTCTTTAGATTTAAAAGAGTAATAATAAAAATATACTGCCCTCAATTTGTAAAGCTATTAAGAAGGGTTCCCAGATTTCAACCTAGAGAAGAGAAGACATAAATTAGGAGTGTAGCTCTGAGCGCGGGCAGTTTATCTCAGCGGAGTAGTGGAAAGGACCCAGCTTCTGGAACCGCAGACAGAAACGCTGCTATTTAACCGCCTGACCTTGGACAATCCATTTAGCCTCTTTTTGAGGCTCAGTTTTCTCACAAGTTGGGATCAAGTTAGTTAAACACTCATCAAGCTCCTACTACGTTCTGGACTGTGTGTCAGACACTGATTGAGTCTATACAGTAAAAAAGGCAGGTCCCCAAAGTAGGTATTCAATGTCAGTTCCCTTCCAATTCCCTTCAAATAGACCATTATTATATATATTTTGACAAGGTTGAAAGTAAGATAGATGGCTAAGGACAATTTTATACACACAAGAATTTTGCTGGGGGCCTAGACACCTGAAAAACAAGAATTTTTTTTAGCGTTAGGTCTCTTGATCAGACCATCTTGATTTAAATTCACCTACTATTTTTTTTTTTTTTTTTTTTTTGGGCCGGGGCTGGGTTTGAACCGCCACCTCTGGCATATGAGGCTGGCGCCCTACTCCTTTGAGCCACAGGCGCCGCTCTTATGGGCTTCTATTTATGGTCAACAATGAATCCCTATTTTTTGGTGGCGATGAAGGAATTATACAGATACTGCCTCATGATCCTCACAGGCGGCTCGCAAAGGGAACAAGAACAGGTATGATTACTATTAAGCCCATTTTATAGATGAGGAAGTCGGCAGAAGCTGGTTTTTCTATGCCTCCTCTGTCCCCTGGTCCCAGCCCGCACAGAAGCGGCCCACAATGGTGCTGTTACACGTCGACTGTTCCAGCAACTCAGAAAGGAGAGGTACCCCAAGAGTTAGCCAAAAGAGAAAGACGCAGGATTGCACTGTGGCGGCTCAGGTTTTCCTTCTCCCTTCTCTAGGTGGGCGAGAAATGGGTGACTGGAGTTTCCTGGGGAACATCTTGGAGGAGGTGAACGAGCACTCCACGGTCATCGGCAGAGTCTGGCTGACGGTGCTCTTCATCTTCCGCATCCTCATCCTGGGCACGGCCGCAGAGTTCGTGTGGGGGGACGAGCAGTCCGACTTCGTGTGCAACACCCAGCAGCCCGGCTGCGAGAACGTGTGCTACGACGAGGCCTTCCCCATCTCCCACATCCGCCTCTGGGTGCTGCAAATCATCTTCGTGTCCACCCCGTCGCTGATGTACGTGGGCCACGCCGTGCACCACGTCCGCATGGAGGAGAAGCGCAAGGACCGCGAGGCGGAGGAGCTGAGCCAGCAGGCGGCCGACGGCGGCGAGCGCGGGCCGCTCACCCCCGACCAGGGCAGCATCAAGAAGAGCAGCAGCAGCAGCAAGGGCACCAAGAAGTTCCGGCTGGAGGGCACGCTGCTGCGGACCTACATCTGCCACATCATCTTCAAGACCCTCTTCGAGGTGGGCTTCATCGTGGGCCACTACTTCCTGTACGGCTTCCGCATCCTGCCGCTCTACCGCTGCAGCCGCTGGCCCTGCCCCAACGTGGTGGACTGTTTCGTGTCCCGGCCCACCGAGAAAACCATCTTCATCCTGTTCATGCTGTCCGTGGCCTCTGTGTCCCTCTTCCTCAATATCATGGAGATGAGCCACCTGGGCCTGAAGGGGATCCGGTCTGCCTTCAAGCGACCCACGGAGCAGCCCCTGGGGGAGCTGCCGGAGAAATCCCTCCACTCCATTGCCGTCTCTTCCATCCAGAAGGCCAAGGGCTACCAGCTCCTAGAAGAAGAGAAGATTGTGTCCCACTATTTCCCTTTGTCTGAGGTGGGCATGGTGGAAACCAGCCCACTTTCTGCCAAGCCCTTCAGTCAGTTCGAGGAAAAGGTCAGCACAGGGCCCCTAGGGGACTTGTCCCGGGGCTACCAAGAGACTCTGCCCTCCTATGCCCAGGTGGGGGCGCAGGAAGCGGAGGGGGAGGGGCAGCCCGCGGAGGAGGGGGCGGAACCCGAGGCGGGAGATAAGAGGCTGGAGGCGGAGAAGGCGACCGCCGAAGGGCTGGAGACCGCGGCAGTGTCAGACGGGGAGAAAGCGGAGACCCCGGGAACCGGCAAGGAGGGGGAGAAAGAAGAGCTGCAGGCCGAGAAGGTGTCAAAGCAGGGGCTGCTAGCTGAGAAGACGCCTTCGCTCTGTCCCGAGCTCACGGCAGACGACAGCAGACCCTTGAGTAGGCTGAGCAAAGCCAGCAGCCGGGCCAGGTCAGACGATTTAACCATATGAAACGGTGCCAAACAAAGAAAACGCTCAAGCTAATATAGCGCAAAGTGAAAGGAAAAGGTGCCAACTTAATTTGAGTCTTGTGTCCCCTCCCCTACCCCCTCCCCTGGTTAGATGGGCACTGCATTGGAGCAGTGCATGCTATACAACTAGGAAACTGCCTTTCCCATACACAGTAGAAGGGCTGTCAAGATAAACCCATTGTCCCATCCAAGTTCCCAGTCCCACATGACGCTGCTCCTCCACCCCAGAGGCTATGCGACACTCTGCTTTTGTCCCCAGTTCTCCACAGAAATCTCTTCCAATCAGAAGTTAGGTGGCCTCATAGCCTTTTACCAGTCTTGTGTCAAGTTCATTAACTTAACCAGACCCTGTCACCCCAGCAGTTCCCTAGCAGATACCATGTGACGATATTTCAGGAATCCTGGACTCAGTAGCCTACAGAATATAGGCAGGTGACTTAAGCTAGTGATGCAGGCCTGCTCTAAGGCAGTGGAGAGGGGTGGGCTAGGGAAGATGGAGGGCAGGGCAGCTGCTGCTTGCTTGCAGATAACCAGAACCTTGCAGTGTTACCTGGCAGTCTGATTTTTCCAAGAGAAGCCAGAAACCCAAACTGTTAATTCAAATTTCCAAAACTGTTAATATTGACAGCTAAATTTGAAATACAACATACGGACCAAATGACATATGTGAGAGCCAAATTTAACCCGGGTTAAAGGTAAGTGCTGGGGTGACAGAGTTTGGCTAAGTTAATGAACTTAAGACGAGACTGGGGCATCAATTTGCAATAATGTCAGCCTATGCCAATGAGCCCAGATTTCCTGTGGAATTGACTTTATTTTTTATGGTCTCATCTTGTTTCTGTGGCTCTACCTCACTCCACTGCTTTGGAATATTTGGTTTAAATCATCAGTCTAAGAGATGCCCAGAGTTCTCACTGACCATTCTTTTGGGTCATCTAGCCTCTGGGTTCTGAAGCCATGATATGCTTTGTAATGGAGGGAATTCTGCCATGGGTACCATCAGGGAATGAGAACAAGACACCAAAACCTCTCTCTGTGAGATGAAAGGCTTTGAGGCCTGGTTACAGGTTTTGGGGGAGGGGGCTTCTGTCTTTCCTGAAGCAAAAAAGATGCTTTACTGTCCTCTTTCAACATCAGGGCTCAGCCTAAAATCTATACCTCCTTTCATCAGGGGCTGGAGGCATCCCCAATTCTGAGCTGGTGGACACCTGCTCCCAGGCCCGACATGAGGATAGTCAGCACTCAGGCCTTGTTTTGACACAAGATGTACCAGAAGGGCCATCAGAGCAGTACTGAGGGTGGGAGGGGGGTCTCACGGAGTATGTACTCAAATAGCCAGGGTCCCAAAGTCTAGTCTCAAGCCAAATTTTGTCCCTGCAAGGGACAGAGAGGCTAAAGAGAACAAGAAGATCTGGAGGGTCTCCTGTCCTTGTATCCCCATAACTCACCTGCCTTAAATATATAGAGTCAATCAGGGAAAACCATCAAGTGCAAGTACATGTTTCACACCAGGAGCAGGTTCACCCAGAGCCTAGCAATTTCCAGATCAAAGAGAGAAAGAGATAGCTAAGATGGTTATCTAAACCAAAGTTATGCTTTATGGGCTACAGTGCCAAAGATAAGGTAGGAGGTGTAGAAACCACAACCACATTGACATGGCAAAGATCTGAACAGGAGACCACCAAGGTATCCAAAAGAGGTATCCAGAAAAGCTGCCTTCATTCTAACTTCCCAATTGAAGGTTCCTTTCAAGATATTCATTCTAGGGCAGCGCCTGTGGCTCAGTGAGTAGGGCGCTGGCCCCATATACCAAGGGTGGTGGGTTCAAAACTGGCCCCAGCCAAACTGCAACAAAAAAATAGCCGGGCGTTGTGGCGGGCGCCTGTAGTCCCAGCTACGCGGGAGGCTGAGGCAGGAGAATCACCTAAGCCCAGGAGTTGGAGGTTGCTGTGAGCTGTGACGCCACAGCACTCTACCAAAGGCAATAAAGTGAAACTCTGTCTCTAAAAAAATAAAAAAAGATATTCATTCTAGATATGGCTTTCCAAAATAATACTTCTTTCTCTGAAACCATTCCTCCCCCCATGACAATATTTCCATTCCTTGGTGCCCCATTCTAAAGCAAAGTGGTTTAAAAATTAAATTGATGTTAAGGGATGATTGGTAATTACTCCTGGGAAAATTCGTATTTAAAAGAAAGCCTAAAATATATTTGACTGAGGTGTCCTGAAGTGACAAACCTTCATTGGAGGAATGTTGAATAGAAAAGATACATTTATCTCATAGTCATGTGACTTTCTGGCTGCTCCTTGATCTTGTCTTTTGCAGGAAGCACTATTCCACGCAGACCCTCTCCTGTATGGTGAGAGAGGTAGTAAAATCTGAGTCTGAGACCCAGAGTCCATCCTTGACCCCAAAGGATGCACCATTGTGCCTACAGTTTTGCTCCTAAAAACCCAATTTAGGAAGAATCATATGAATACCTTAATCATTACCAGAATAAAATATCTATCTCAATCAGGACCTAATCAAAAAAACAAAAAAAAGGAAAGAGGCGGCACCTGTGGCTCAGTGTGTGGGGTGCCAGCCCCATATACCAAGGGTGGTGGGTTCAAACCCAGCCCCGCCAAACAGCAACAAAAAATTAATGGTTGTTTTAAGACACTTTAAAAAAAAAAAGAAAGAAAGATAAATTATGTCTTGTTCTAAGTGACACTGCTTGGTGCTGTTTGGAACCAGTTTTAGAGCTGTAGGTGAGGGTGCCTGGTCTCCTTGTCTCTGCTGGAACATAAGTATATGTCTTTCCTTGACTGAAGCAGCATCCTGCTTCATGCTCATACTACCCCTGCCCCACATTTCCTTCTAGACTTCCCTCCAAAAGAGGAGGCCTATTTAGGAAGAAAAAGACACAGGCATTAAGGGATTGGGCTTTTCTTTGTATTTTTAGTAGTATTGTTATTATTGTCCCTTAACCTCTCTGTACCTCAGTTTTCTGTCTACAGATTAGAGATGGCATTTGCCACCTATCTACCTCCAGGGGTGTCATAAAGATTAATGAGTTGGCTGCCAACATGGAGCCTACTGAGTGGTGCCACTCCCTGAGAGATTCCTCCAACAGCAGTAAGACTAGGAGGAAAGGCTGGTAGTGGTTTCCGTTTGTCTCTCCCAACCCGCTTTGCAATTACCTAGTGAGAGTTTTTCACTATGGAATAGACACTCCAGAGATCAGTAAAGACTCAAAACAGAATTTCTCAGCAAAGACTCAAAACAGAATTTCAACCCCACACATTTAGTAGGAAGCTGAGGTCCTCTGACCTTAAGAAATGACTGGGAACAGGTTGACAATCACTTTCATCTTCTGAAATAAGATGCCCCATTTTAAGCTACCACCCACCTGCTGCCAGTTTCCACTGAGGCAGCTTGTGTCTGCACCAGGCCACACAGCCACATCCCTCAGCATCTGTTTTTGAGGCAAATAATTGTGACTGATGCAGAATTATAATCTTCCTGACTCTATTAGGTCCTATTAAAAGGCATGTTAGACAGCAGGACATCAGAAGTACAACTCCCTCCAGAGGGCTAATCACTTGATAGCAGTTGTAACACATCCATCGGGGAGAACTGTGACATGGAAGGACAAAGGTACTCACAGTTCAGTCAGAAAGTTTTGAGCCTGGCCTAGCATTTTGGGCATTATAAAAAGGCCAATCTACTTTGACTATGATTTTGTCCCTTGCCACACAGGTGAAGCATCCAACACAGCATTGGAAAAATATTCCTGAAGTCAGTGTCCTCTAGAAACCCACAAGGAACGCTGACATTCAAGTCAGGAGTGCTGGCTTCCCCTCACTAACCTGGGGATGCCGAGATCTCTATATGACAACTTTTTCCACATTAGTTGGAGAATGATAAGTTCTGTCCCACCTTCCCAAGATGTTATGTCTTTTTTTAAAGCTCATTAATCTGTAAATAAGAAGAAAGGAAAGAAGGCATTATCCAAATTTGTAAATCCATATAGTCAAACGTATACTGAACCAATGACAGTCATCATTCTCTCTCTCTCTCTTTTTTTTTTTTTTTTTTTTGAGAGAGTCTCACTTTGTTGCCCTCAGTCTGTGGCATCTTAGCTCACAGCAACCTCAAACTGTTGGGCTCAAGTAATCCTCTTGCCTCGGCCTCCCAAGTGTCTGAGACTCTAGGCACCCACCACAATGCCTGGCTATATTTAGGTATTGGTCTCACTCTTGGTCAGGCTGGTCTGAACTCCTGAGCTCAAGCTATCCACCCACCTCTGCCTCCCAGAGTTCTGAGATTACAGGTGTGAGCCACTGCACCTGGCCAGAACACACATCACTTTCAAATACTGCACAGATTGTTAACAAAAAGTGAGACAATCAGTAAAATGAGGGAAGTGAATGGGGATGGGGGAGGGGTGTGAGTATTCCTGAATTCCTACAAATTATACTACAAAAAAAAAGAACATCTTTAATCATGCAAGATTTAGTTACTGAAAGTGGTGCTGAAGATACTCAGCAAACGTGTGCTAGAGAGCTCATGTTTAGAGATGCATCAGCCCCTGAGACAGTTTCTGGCTCATGGCAGAAGGGGGTCCAAGGATACTGCAAAAGCTGTGTGCTAGAACTCCTCAGTCCAAGCCGTGTGTACATTTGGGCAAGAGTAGTGCGAATCCCTGCTCCTCCCCAGTTCCGGAGGAGGGTCATTAGGAGTGAGAATGAACACACCACTCCCATGCATCTCCCAGCCCACTCCACCAATAACCTCCTCCTTCCCCTGAACCTGAACTACACTTCTATGCATATCATGTGCAAATGATAGCACAAGTTAGCAAAATTTAGATGAAAAAGGTTTGCCTGGTTGGATGGAAAACTCTTCTGAGTGTAAATACAATCTGTAAAACATAGAAGGTGTGTGCCTAGAAGTGATAGTGAAATAGGCAGGGAGACTTTCCCTTCTTGCAGTT